CCCCCAAAATAAGTAAACCTTAAAAAAAGAAAAAGAATTTAAGAAAATATAGACACTTCCTCTTTTCTTCCTCCTCCTTCCAAAAAAATTTGGAAATCGCCTCATTTATTCATTAGTAAACATCATTGAAATCTACATGATACTACATTTATCCACACTACTACACTTCCATTACAATGACAGTCTCAAATTTTTCCTCACTGAATTTTCTTAAATACACCAATTCTTTCCTTTTTTTAAAAATTTTTTAATGTTTGTTTATTTTTTGAGAGAGAGAGCCAGAGTGTGAGTGGGGGTGCAGAGAGAGAGGGAGACACAGAATCCGAAGCAGGCCCCAGACTCTGAGCTGTCAGCACAGAGCCCAACGCAAGCCCAAACTCATGAACTGTGAGATCATGACCTGAGCCAAAGTCAGACACTTAACTGACTGAGCCACCCAGGCGCCCCTCCTTCCCTTTCTTAAAGCCTGCTTTTTGTTCAGGTAAATGTTCTTACTCAGAGGCCTCCTAAATTGCCTTGGAGCCCAAGTTCAAAGATCCTAACACTCCTCCAGAATCCTCTCCCAGGTTTCTCAAATTTTCCAGAAATAAGTACTTTTGAAAGGAGGAGTGGAGCTTATAAAATACTTGCCAAGTTTTCCAGAAAGAATCATCTGGGGCACTTGTTAAATATACAACTTGGGGTGCTTGGGTGGCTCAGTCGGGTAAGCCTCCAAGCGTCCCGACTCTTGATTTTGGGTCAGGTCATGATCTGGCAGTTCGTGGGTTTGAGCCCCACGTGTTTGAGCTCCGTGCTGACAGTGTGGAGCCTGCTTGGGATATTCTCTCTCTCTCAAAATGAATACACACACACACACACACACACACACACACACACACACACACACACACACACACACACACACACACACACACACACACACACACACACACACACACACACACACACACACACACACACACACACCAGGCTTCTCCTAGGAGGAAATGATTCAAGTACATAGGTGAAAGACAAGAAATCTGTCTTGAAACAACTGTCCCAGATTCTAGAAGTACATCTTTTCTGATGGTATTCATTCATCACTGCTTCCATACTGACCACCTTCTCATGTGGTCTTTTCGCCCTGCCTGTCATCACTGTGCTCCCTTCCAGGGATGTACCCTCCTTTCACCTATTCAAAAGCACTTCACTTCCCAACAAATCCAGCCACACTGATTTCTCTTTCTTCTCGATTCCTGACACAATTAGTCATGTGATACAATATTTGGCCTTTTAAGTATACTGTATTCAATAAAACTTGTGGACTGAATGATGTCAATTTATCTTCTTTATTTTTTCTAGGTCAAGTCCAGTGTTGAGACAGTAAGCAAGATTAAATGCTTTGCAAAGGTTCATACGTAAATGTGTTGAATGTGATTCTGGAGCTATGGTTATTAACTCAAACACCCCCAATAGCTCACTATTTAAACTATTAGCACTGAATGCTACAGGAAAATGATACCTTAGTTCTCCCACAAGGAAAGCAATTTATTCTGTAGGAACTTGATAATTACAAGCTTTCCCATTTCTCTCTCATCAACAGCTTACTCACAGAGTTAAGGGACATACTAAATAAAGCCACCTCCTGAAATGAGCTGGTATTTGCTTTTAAAATTGTCCCAAGAAAAAAAGCAACATGTTCCAGGGGTGGCTTACAGTCATTCAGCCAAACTCTTAATTATCTGAGGAGGAGGGATCTGGAAGACAGCACTTATAAACCCACAGATGACTCCCGATTGCATTTCATCCAGTACAGTAACTGTGGCAATTGCTGCTTCTTTATGGGGGTGCTGTCCTTGTGTGAGAAAAGACAGCAAAACACTGAAGTTGTTTCCAAGTTCCCCTTTAAATTCTAATAACCTAGGATGTGATGACTGTACTCGTCTTTCTAGTGACCTCTGATGGGACTGCCAAGGGACCTACGTTAGGAAGGAAACGATTATCAAATGGAGTCAAGGGGTGGGACTCATCACCTACCCCCAAGCCTCGACAAGAGACTCTCTGGAGGGAAGAGTAGCTTTCAGCTACCCGAGGGCTTCTCTTGCCAGATGTCTAAATTTTGGGGCATGGAAGAATAATGGGGAGGTTTATTCTTATTGTTAGCTTGTTAAGTAATGTGGAATCTGTTAAGTAATGTGGAACCAATTCTTTTAATAGGTCTCTAGTAGGATCCATTAGTCTGCCATTTTTAAAAGCACTGAATGCTGGTTCTGGGGCTCTTTGGAAAACATTTTACTGGGGGTTTCTTCTCTCACCCTGCCAGCTGCTTCCATCCTTCATGCTTTTCCCTTTTTGTTCCTGCCTTTTCCCAAATAAAATGATTTAATTTCTTTCAATCTTAACCATGCTTCAAGGCCCAGCTCAAATACCAATTACTTCTTGAAGGCTAAAAAGATCACCTTTGCTGAAAGGGACCTCCCCATCTCTGGCACCCTTGTGTCATGAGCAAACCTCTAACTGTAAGAGAATAAAAGAGAATAAAAAAAATAAAGAGAATAAAAATAAAAAAGAGAATAAAAAGAGAATAAAAGAATTTCATTTCATTCAACAGTTATTTCTTTTTGTAAGTTCTTCTCTCTTATTAGGCAGTAAACTCCATAAAGGCAGACTAAGGCTCACATTCTTTTACTTCCTATAATAAAGCACCTACAGTGTGTGTAAGGCATTCTGCAAAGACTTCCTGAATGAATGAGTGATCCAGCAATTGAGTAAATGAATGTATTCACATTTCTTCTCTAACAAGTAGCTGAAGCTAAAACTGCATGCAAAAGGAAAACTGCCTAGATTTTTAGTAACTGTCTATGATATCATAAGCATCCTAAAGCCTTTCAGTTTCTTTATTTGTAAAACTAGGGGGTTTCAGAGACTTTTTAAAAAGTTCATTAAATACCTGTATCAAAAGCCTAATGTTCCAAATACTCTAACCTGACCTTTTTTCCTCAGCCAACACCACAGCTATCTGTATCACACAAGCTATCTGTATTCCCAAGATGTAACTATGGACAAACTCTGCCTAAGGGACTTTGAGATCTGAGCTGGTTCTGGAGAAGACACTAACTGGCTTTCTCTTTTACCTCTTCTTCTTCAAACCAAACAACATTCCTCTTGAAAATTTCCAGCAAGAAAAAACACTAACAGTTATTAGGTGGCACCCATCCTAACAGCTATTTTCACACAATGTGCCAAATTCCTACAGAGCTGGGGCAAAAAAAAAAAAA